ACCAGTTGATCACCTAGTGCTTGAACTTATCTACGGTAGCAGACCAGCGCAGCTTAGACGGATCCTAGGGTTTGACACAGTCATCCAGGATTTGCTTGAACAGAAAGGCCTTACAGTCCACACGTAAACTCGATCCACGAATCCGCTGGCCCATAGTGGGCCAGGCGCTAAAAGGACACTGGCCGTGCGCCGCCATGGGTGGTAACTAGTTATGGTTCACGGAATGGTTAGGTAAGTTTGACGCGAATAACTATTTGATCAAGGTGTCTCATGTGCTCAAGCACCTCCCCCGATGGCCCCAGAGAAGTACTACATAAGTAGCCGTGGTTGAACCGACCCACCCACCGGCGGAACGCTACGTCTAAATTCCCTGATAACCTGATAATGTTTTTTCATCCCTATTGAGCTTCACAATCAGCACCCAACAACCATCGCATTCCTCTGGTACCCCTCTACATCCAACGAGGAGAGATTTACCGCAAACCCGAAATTGAAACTTACCTCTGAGTGAGTATTAATAATCATCACTGGACAGGATCGCTTTAGCTGATGTGGATAAAACTTAGGAACATCATGTGTCAGAAGCTTATTGAGACAATTGAGCATTTATGCAGACATAGAGTTGATTCTCCCGGGAGAATCAGGGAACTTAACGGCTGCAACAACTGTGGTATCATCCAGAAAACAGAGCACCTGGGCAAGACAACCAAAAGAGACCCATGCCCTGACTGTATCGACAGTGGTACTTATGTGGAGAGAAATGGGATTTGGAAGAGGGCCTAGTGGGTTTTGGGATCTACCCATCCTGATAGGAAATTGTGGCAGAAATATGTGGGTCTACTGAAAAGCGCTGATTCAGCCGTTTATATGATCATACTCGAAATGAATGAAAGTCTTGATTCTTCTAACTAAACGATAAAGAAGCCGATATTTATGCAATCTCAGAGGCTTCAGGATCGTCATAAAATGAGCGGAATTGCATGATCTATATCGTCATAAATCATACGATTTATATTAATCGGTTGCATGATCGGTCCGGTCAAGCAAGGCGATGATATAAGCGGACTAGTCATCTCCCGCGGCCACAGAAATAGTTAGTCTCACAATTTCGCGAATTTTATCTATATTATATTTCCTTGCGCTTACTATGTAATTATCTTCTAGTAGAACATGAACCCTTAGATTTGAATTAAAATACAATAGCTACATAGTTTGTTCTATTCTTATCCAGAGTCAATTACCAGTGATGGGGAAGAAATCTCCTGGTAAACTAGTCGCTTGTAAGCTGATACGAAAGGCAGAAGATACGATGACTAAGAAAGTAATCATCACCAATTGAACCAATCATAATTGATTATGTCACTGTGCCCCTTTACTTTTCTACCATCCTCTTCCCCCTTCTCTTTTCCCTCTAAATGCAGAAAAGTTGCTTCAATCCCTCCTCTTCAATATACCCTTTCTCCCTCTCGCGTCATACATTTCAACAATGGATATCCAACGCCAGTTTCCTGATGTCCACTGGATCTGGGGCGGAGGCATCTCTTTCGTTTACGAGGTCCACCCTCGCATTGTTGTCAAAGTCCCGAAGTCTGGGGAATTCGAGAGGGAACAATTTCAGAAAGAGCTTGAGATATATCAAGTATTCTTGCAAAATCCGCCTTGTCCCTCTATTGTGCAGTGTTTTCTCTCTTCCGGCAGTGGCATTTTTCTCGAGTACATGAGAGGTGCGACCCCAATTAGCAGTTAAAATGTTGTCTACTAATTTCCCTCTTAGACAAGTCCCTTTCTTCTAGGATACAAAACAATCATATTCGGGACCAGCAAACTATGGTAGTTACTAAAGTTGAGAAGTTGGAACCTCTACTCCTACGAAAAGAATGGATGAACGATCTCGCTCAAGCTGTCGCTTTCTTGGAATCCCTCAACCTCGCTCATGGTGATCTACGACCTGAAAATGTTCTACTTGACCGCAATCGACTAAAGCTATCCGATTTTGATTGTACGGCGAAAATTGGGACAAATTACGAAGCTTGCATGGCTCCGTATGGCAGAATGCTCAATAACGAGGAGTCAGACCAAGGAGAATGTGGAACCCCTGGCTTTCTTGGCCCTCGAACAGAACAGTTCGCCCTTGGTTCCTTATATTATTTGATAAACTACGGCTTTGAGGTTTATGGAGATCGCTGTCTTGCCGAGGATCCTTACGAACATGGTCCTAAGGTCGTGGACTTACTACAGAACATGGAGTTTCCGACATTAGACGGCAATCCGCTGATTGACGATATCATCCACAAATGTTGGCATAATAAATATGTCACGGTTTCAGAATTAGCCGCGCACACGAAATCACTTTTGAACGAAAGAACTGATGCAATGAAAAGTAGCGAAGTGGTAACACTCAAAACAATATTCAACGAACGATGGCATATGGCCATGGGTCGCATAATTCATGGGATATTTTATGGCCTTGGAGCATGGTGCAGGTCATTATTACACAGTTTCCACGGTAAGGCAATTATCGCTGAGCGAGCCAGTGGCGACAATCGTGATAGTAAGGATGAAAACTGCTTGGGTGAGGAATTTATTTCGAAAAAGGAATTATGTCGGGACCTGGAGAAACGTGGACTTCTTCATGCGCTTTCTTCAGGCGAGCCTGAGCAAATTGGATTCACCTTCGATTGGTATAGACACAGTATTTAGTCAGAAACTCTCATCACACTTGTGACATTTTCGATCATTACTTCGATGGGACCATGCCAAACACATGTTCTGAAGTATCAGATAAGGCGCTAGCACCGCATCACCTGGAGAAAGTCCGTCGTCCTAGTCCTATTGTCTACAAAATGACTCACATAGTGTACCCAAGAATCATTCTACGACAACTGAGTTAGTACCGCAGAAACCCCATCATGGGGAGACCCGCTTTCTCAGACGGTGGGTCTTATGGGCCAATGGAGTACGGCTATCGGCGAGAGCGATAATCAGCCAAAACGGCCCAGCGTTAAGCTTCACTTTCGATAAGTGTTCTCTACCAGCTGGATTGTTCAGTAGCTTTGGCGTACGCACGGCGATCCCGACAGTCAAAAACTTGGAGTAGAAGAGCGGTTTGCTGAAAGCGTCAGCTAAAAGAAAGCTCTGCGCGTCAAGCCACCTACTCAAGGCTAGCCATCTTCACTTCACTTCTGGCGGATGATGTACTCAATCTCATCACGTAGAGAGAGTTCATCGTCCTCATGCTACTCTCACATTTGTACTAGTAACAAAGGAATTCTAGCAGGCCAGCCGCAGGAATCGTAGAAATGGAAGATGAGAGGAGGGAAATCGGAGTTATCGATAGGATGTCCCGTCTGGAAAGAGAGGGAGGGTTGGTCGGAAGATCTGCCTGGAGTTAGAAGGTAAGATCTTGGAGAGGGAGATGGTTTATAATGTAAGACGGGGACCGGAAAAGGCCGCAGGTAAAAGAAAGTTCCTGAAAGGTGTTAGTGTTCGACGGATAGTTCCTGGGAGCAAAAATCGTGGTGTTTGACAAAACCATGGCACAGGACTCGAAGGATCCCTACCTGCCAAAACTAAAACGAACGCCATTGTCTGTTATTGGTTCCTACGGGTGCGTACGATCCGCACAAAAGTGTACCAATGTGTTAAGTGGTGCTTAGGAGGGTGGCTAAGTGAGACATAGCTCTACAACTAGGCCAGTGGAAAACCATCTATCCCACTGGAGGACTCTGAAGAGTACTACGACGGTGCTAATAAGCAAATGTTTATGCAGTTCATTAGGAAGATGCTTCGATGGGACCCAGATGAGAGACAGAGCACTCGTGAACTTTTGACAGGCCCTTGGTTAAACAGTAGTAATAATATGCTTTCGCAGATGGTTTCTAAATGTCTTTTTTTTCTAGGCACGCTAATCCCTCACATAGAGTTGTCCGTTCGACTAGCTAGCGAAGAAACGGGTGGCTGCGGTACGTTACCCAAATGGCATGAAGAGCAACTGCGGAACGCCCCCAGCCCTTTCTCAAGAATCAGACTCCGATCCAACAAACAACTTCATAAACGCCCAAAGATTATCAAATTCCCAACCTCTCCGTAAAAAGTTTCATGTCTGCAGATGATAACATGTCCTTTCTGCAACTCCAAAGGTTTCGGTGAAACAAGGCGAATCCGTTGAACTGCTTGCTCGCCACACATCTACATCCTCAGTTGTTGGCAGATCAGGCTAGGCCTGTGATTTGGCAGGGACAGGCGAGGAGGGAGGTACAAACGTTCATCAACAAGCAGAGATAGGAAATGAGAGCGAAGTGCCGCGAACGACTTCTCTGGGTTATAGAAATGATCAGCGCACATTAGTATAGGTATCGTTATAACTCCCTCCTTTTTAGCTTCGTACTCCAATATCTTACTCTACGAGGAATACCAGGTCTTGCAGAAGCTAGAAAATGTATTTTGCATTATTTTCACTAATTCGAGCTCGACACACCCCTAAAATAGACGTTCACCCTTTTGGACCTTCTTGCCGTTTTCCAACGTTCCCTGACCCCATCTCACAATTTGTGAGAGACGCGGTAGTTTGATATATACGGTTCAGTTGCACGAGAGACTCACCCATCCTGCCACATCACGAACTGCGGATTCAGGATTATTCCTGTATGGCAACAGATAGTTTTGAACCTCCGCTGCAGTGTAACGGCCCTGGGGAACTTTATCTCCAAATACGTGTGACCATTTCATAATATCATCTATCGCCCAATCAGGGCTGGCCGTTGTAAGTGGTGAATCGATCGAGTTGGTTAACTCTTTGCCTCCCATAACCAGTGCATCAGTGGGCTTTAGAAAGAAGGTAAGAAAAAGCTGTTGAATAGCTGATGAGTCGACGTGGTGGAAGGGAACTTTCATATCCACACGTCCAGGGCGAAGGAGAGCGTCGTCGAGTTTTTCGATGTGATTAGTTGTCATGATTAGGATTCTACCTTCCTGCGCTGACACACCGTCAATGACATTGAGTAATGCAGAAAGGGTTATCCCGCTTGATCGCCGCTCGGAGCTGTGATATTCTAAGCTGTCGCATTCAGTGATCTCGTCTGTTTTATATCGGTTCCGGGACAGAGGAATATCGGTGCCGCGTTTCCGAATGCCGGCCTGGTCCACATCTTCAAACAGAACGATGCATCGATTTGGAAGGGATTGAAACAGAAGAGCCAGCCCATTTTCGTCAAGATCACCTGCGCTGAGACTGACCATAAAAATTTCAAGCTGTACCAGACTGGCAATTCCAAAACACAGACTTGACTTCCCTGTACCTGGCGGGCCGTAGAAAAGGTAGCCTCGCCGATACGGAAGACCTCGGGACTGGTACCAGGAACGGGTGCGAGGATGTAGGTAATTTTCTATATCTTGGACAATACCACTTTTCAGTTCCGAATCCATGATAACTGTCGACAGGGACCGTGGTTTCTTGGATGCCATCCGTGTCCACTGAAAATCGGATCCCAATCTAAGCCCGCGTCTTACAACAACATGGTGCCTGTCATGCTCGGTAGAGGCCTTCTGGATGCTATACAGGAGGCCCTTTAATACATCTCTTCTCCACGGGGCTGCATAGAAATATAGCTTTTCCATGCTTGCAGCCCAAGGATTCCCGGAATCCTCATATGGTTGACGACGCAGAGCAATTAAACACCCGCGGAAGGTAAAATAATGTATTTGATTTGGTGCGGGGGTATAACGAATTTGTTGAAGATTGTTAAGTTCCGTCCTCTTTATCCAAAATGGCCTTGGATCATTTTCGAATCGCAATTGATCTGTTTCAGACAAATCTCGCTCGTCGTCTTCCGTGTTATCCCAAAGGGTAGCAAAGTCCATTCTCGTGCCAGCAACGAATCGTAACGTACGGTTCAAGGTGCTCTGGTTAGAAATCCATCGCATGGCATCATCAAACAGTTCGTCGTGGTATCGGATTTCAACTGACGTTGATAACAGTAGAAAGAGGGATTGGAGTTGGGCCCAAAACGATGGCATAACATACGCACAGAACGCAAAAGGCCCTACCAGGACAAGAAGATAGGAAATAATATCAACGTGAAAATAGGATTGAAGTGAACGAGCTAAAAGCCCGTAGCCCGGGACGAGAGTTTCGAGCAGAACGTCAGCCGGAGACATGCTGGAAGTCAAGTTTCTTGAAGAGAAAACTATGTCAAGTGATGAGATTGTTGTAAAGATAGGTCCCGGCAATGAAGTGAGAGAAAGGAACCTCTTATATAACCCAAACGTGTAGGGCGAGGCTATAAGCTAATTTAGATTTAACTAGGCTTCTGCTCAACGACCATTAGAGAGGAAGTCTTAGAAAACAATAAGCGGGAAATAACCCGTCTTACTCCCGATAGCCCAACACTTCGTGGAGTTCTAGACCGGTTGAACGCTGGGCCATCTTACTGCTGGCTTTGTGCATGGCTTGCATGGCTTGAGCTAACAGACAGACCCAGTCTTAGGTATGATAGCATAACCGCAGACTACTGCCCCTACCTAGCCAGTGGGTTTTCTCATCACAACGGATCTACCACACGGCTAACCGGAGTCAGGCGGGGGTGGCGGAGTGCAGCCTGTTTGCAAGGCCGCCGGGGTGAGGAAACTACTACAAGAAAGGGAAGATTTGGGGGGATTTGCATTGACTCAGACTCAGTTTAACGATGCGCAATTCATTAGAAGTCTAGGCCCACCGCGTAATAGCCCCCTTTGTAAATGCCTAGTAACCTGGTCGATCAAAGACCTTGCTATTTCCCCCTCTGGTACGTGTGATCGGCAGCTTCCTCGCGCAATCTACTGGTATCAACAGAGGTAACAGCTCAGTCTTATTGGCATAGATAAAAAGAAGAAAAACAAACTATGATATCAGGGACTCTGATTATTTGAACTGGAGTGGCTAAGATTTTTTGCTTCAATGACCAAACCAGGCTGACTCGCCGAAAGCTTAACCGTAATAACGCAATTTGATACTAATAATTACAGGTACAAACAAAAAAAAACTCTCCTTCTTCATTTTTATCCAGTCACCTCGCATCGCAGTCATCCGATTTCATTTGGGCGGCGGAGGTGGTGCACCTGGCTTTTTTACCCCTGTGGTATCGTATCCGTTTCGACCGGCCATATTGGTTTGAATGTCCTGAGTAGTGATTGCTGGTCTAGATTGTAATCAGTAAGCTATATTGCCCTTGTAAAAAAAGAGAAAGAAAAAGAAAGAAAGAGAAAATCGAGGAACCGAATACTTACTGTATAGCGTAGTTACATGCATGTATCAAGCGGCAGTGCAGACGTATAATGATATAATTTATACAGATACTGTAAGGTTACTTGAGATATTTTATCATTAGCTGAGCGTAGGTCCATACACTCATCTAGATTTCGTTTCTATCCCTGATTCAGGTAACTCCGCAGGCTGGTTAGTCTCACGCAGCAGAATCAGCCATGATACAGCCAAGGGCTCATCCCAATCAAACTAGAGACATACAGAGTGTTCTAGACCAGTACTAGGCTGATGCTACGAGAGGATTATCTTACTGGACCGCTGGTGCAGGGTAAAATTATGCCTCATCATGTACGTTCCTCACTGCAGCAGGCTGTAGCAATCTCCGTCTCTTTTCTGTGAAATCTCTGTTGCAACAAGATACTACGAAGAAGTATGATAGAAGGATCCCGTTCCTTCAGCTGAGCACCACGCCAATCTGGGTTTTGCTGATCAATAGTTGCACGTCTTTGGTTGAGTATCATGGCATTAGGCCCTGACTAAGATTGCTTCCTTGTCATTTTTAAGCACTCTGGACATCTCTCATGACCACATACACTAAAACAGACGCTTCCACAAATAACTCCAGTCTCCTTTTTACATACACAACAAGCTCCTCTAAGAAGCATTCGAGATTTCCTTTTTACCCATTTATTTTTTCAGACATCTCCGGCCCTCTGATACGTTTTATGCTGTAGCATCTTGTCAAAACCTCCTGCCGTGCACAATTTTATACTATAGATCATTAGATAACGTCCTCTAGATAACAAGTGTTTTCATACCACTTTTTGTGTGAGACTGTTCTTAAACGGGCCTCCCTTTATGGAGCAAGTCAAAATTTTCTTTTCCCAATAAATCCAAGCTCTGGAAGGTATGTAAAGCAAACTTTACACGACATGCTCTTTAGCTGGTTCGAGATCAGGAAAGTACCTTTTCTTGAAAAAAGGACGCAGGAGAGAGAGAAGGAGGAAAAGACCGAATTGCGCCAGCACGAACAATAAGAATGCAAAAATGAAGATATTCATCGTTGATGCTATGTACATACCTTGTGACAGAATGTTTTAGATTAAATATTCCCCGGGGATCACTCCTTAAGCACACTTTTGAGAGCTAGATACAGAGACAGCGTCAGGAATAGTATTAGAACCACGAGCTTGGCCTCAGATCCATATTATTTGTACATGTTAGTTGGATACAGAAAAAGCCTCCAAAAACACTCAAGCATTGAAAATTGAAAATAGCAAAATAGAAATAAATCTCAAAATTCTTTCTGCCCATCAGAAATCACAAGCCACTCGTCCTTGTTGATATCGTAACGATCCTTAAGTTTGTCCCAAACTGATTGGGGCATCCGTCCCACGACATCGTGTAGTTTGCATCGAAGTTTGTTCGGATGTTCTCTGGAAATGTCGGGGACACGAATTATTTGCGGACATGATACCAAACGAATGTGTCGGGGGCGGCGCTGGAACCGAGCGGTAAATACCATATGAAGCTGACCACCTATGATTATGATGTGGGAGAAATCTCTGAAAAAAGATATCCCAAACTCCTTTTCAGCTTCGATGACATCTATCGGCTGTTCTATTGGCCGGCTCTCATATTTCGTAATGATTTCTTGGGTCACATCGAGAGCTGTTGGTCTTGTGGGTCCTGCGGTGGAAATGAGGACTTTCAAGGGCTTGACAAGGCTCGTGATGCAGAACATGTTGGCTCGAGCGAGAATCGTTTTGGACGGGAACAGCAAAAGGAAGAATTGATCTATGCCAGATTGCGATGAGTGAATATGACGAGGCTGGCATGTTTATAACCTAAGACATGTTCCTTCATAGCTCGATCATGATCTATCCGTTCTAGATTGTCAAGTCGATCATATGTTAGAATGTCGTAACTCTCAAGGGGACGTAGCGTTTGATGTTGGACTAGAGCATGTGGAGGTTTACGGGTGGATATTGGCGATCATGCGTTCCTGGTTGTTTTATTTCTCTCCGTGACGCTTACACCTGGACCAATGAACTCATCCATCAACTTCATTACAGACGCAAGCACTTTGATAAGACGGGTATGCAACTAGTAGCCTAGCGCCTCTTAACAGGCGCTAGGGCTTTGGCGAGAAAGATATGCAACTAGCAGCCTAGGACCTCTTGACGGACGCTACGGCTTTGACGAGACGGGTATGCAACCAGCATCCTAGCACCTCTTGACAGACGCTACCGCCTTGACGAGAAGGGTATGCAACTAGCAGCGTAGCACCTCTTGACAGACGCTACCGCTTTGACGGGACAGATATGCAGCTAGCAGCCTAGCACCTCTTGACAGATACTACGGCTTTGACGAGAGATATGCAACGAGTAACCGTAGTACCTCTTATCCAACGCTAGGCAAAGATACAATTAGCGGCTTAGCGCTTTAATACTGGCCAACTCCTTAGGTCTCCTTGGTAAGTAACAGTTAGAAAGAAAAGCAATAGCCCCTGCACTCTTGATCCATTCGACAACCAAGCAGGTTTCACAAATACATGTTATCTATCGTTTTCAGCCCACGCCTTCAAACAAAGTAACGGAAGCAATGTCGTCTAAAATCTCCAAGAGTGCATTCGAAGGTCTCGCAAAAAAGATCCGTGAAAATTCCGATTCACTTAAATCACTTGCGTTTGCCGATGCTACAACTTCCAAAACTGCCGTCAAAACAAAAGATCTCCGACTTGACGTGCATCGAAATACACAAGATCCTACAATGGTAACCGGAATCATACAAGCAAACAGTCAAGCAGAAGACAAAACTGTCAAAAGTTTTATCAAGGGCAAAACTGGTGGTCATAAGGGCACACATCAGGTTATTGGGGGAAAGATACGGTTCGGCCTGGGGGACAAATTCAATGTCGATGAGCTTGCGAGCGCAGTCGAGAAAACGGAATAGAAGTGAGATCTCTCTGCTTTTGGGCACCTCATTTATTAACACGCCTAGGGGCACCCGGTCCAACTAAGGGTTGATAGCCATTTCGTCGTTAGTTCTCTGGGATAATGGGCATTGTTGGGCACGAGACATAGGAGGTCCTAAAATGCATTCATGTTTCACCGTTGTAAAAGTAGAAAATTAGAAAAAAGGAAGTCATAGTATTGGAGTTACTATACCCGAAAGGAGACTAGATTTCGCGAAAAACAGAGTTCAAGTATGCGCAGATCTTTACCAAGTCTAGATTAGATTGAATGTGTAGCGTCTGGGCTACGCTCATATGTTTATTGTCGGCAAACTTCCTAGACTCGGCGTGAATTTTGGAGCCCTTTTAAGTCATCAGCTAAAGTCTTGTTCAGAGACATTTAGTGCCGGTAAGACTACTGATTGTTGCTCGCAAATTTTGGATTCTGGTTCAAATAAACCAAACAAACCTGACTAGCCCCGGAAATACCTTGACCCGATCAAACGTCAAAACCACAGCCTGTGCGCGTCATGACCAATACAACAATGCGTCTATCACACCTCATGCAAAATGCCAGGGTGCTCTTAACAAAATTTCCATTTTATCCATTTCCAAACCCCTACCGAGGAATGAAGACAGCAACTACAACTCTATGGAAAGCCATGGAGGATGGCTCCGGTAATTCCTTAACAACCCGGAGTCCCGAAGCGGTCGCGTTTCAAGGACTGGTCCCGGGCCGTGTACAACTATCTTGTAAACTGACAATGATATAGAGACACCAATCAATGAAGTCGATCTCTACAAATACCAAAGATATAGGTGGCTGTATGTCAATATTTCTAATAATTTTAGGCTTGACTGACGTCGTTTAGAAGTGGGGAGCCTCAAAAGCTTGCGGTGCGCTACCGTAATTTCAACCTGCGAGCCCTCTTAGATGCATCCGTTGGCGCTACTGGTAACAGAGGGGGCGAATGTAAATTGCTCTTGCATCTTAAAAACTCCCATCTAACTTTCCATAATAGGTGTGAAACTGCTTAAGTGCGTTGAAGGGCAATTCAATAAAGCATTTGTTTTGACCATGCAAACTGGTGAAGAAGTCGTCGCCCGACTGCCGAATCCAAACGCAGGACCAGCTTTTTATACTGTGGCATCAGAGGTTGCTACACGCCACTTTGTATGTGAAAAGGATATATCGCAGAATCTATCCAGGAGCTAATACCACTAAAAGCTGCGTGACATTCTAGGCATTCCAATCCCTCAAATTTATGCTTGGTCAACAGAGGCATCAAATCCGGTAGGTGCTGAATATATTGTCGAAGAAAAAGCTACAGGGCAGCCACTGGGCACACTTTGGAATAAGATGTCGATGGCGAGCCGGCTGGAAATCGTGAATCAAATTGTGCAAATAGAGAAGAAACTCGCATCAGTTTCTTTTCCGAGGCACGGATGCATCTATTATGAGACTGGTCTGAAATCAAGACCAGTCAGCTATGAGCCCCTCGACTTGCCAGCTAGCTTTACTTCATTGTCCACAAAAGTTCATCAAAGTCGATTTCCCAACTTTGTTATCGGGCCTTTGGTCACGCCAAAGCTATGGGAAGGGAAAAGAGCTTCAATGAATCTTGACAGAGGCCCCTGTATGTTCCTACAAGATTTTTTTCCCTTTTCTAGCTGAACTAACAGTCATACAGGGAACCACGTCACTGAATATTCCATAGCTGTTGGGAAAAACGAGCTGGAATGGGCAGAATCAAATGCGGAACCAAGGATAAATCCTTACCGATCATTGGAATACCCCGAGACGCCAGAGGACTATGTCTCCCTGCTGAAACGCTACATGGCGCTAACACCGTACCTCGTGCCCACTTCAATGAGTCATGAGCAAGCGAACAGGATTTCGCACCCAGACTTGCATCTGGACAACATATTTATTGATCCAGTGACAAATAACATAACATGCATAATTGACTGGCAGCTAGCCTCTGTTTCTCCAATATGTCTGCACCGGCGTTACCCACAGATGCTTGAATTTTCAGTCACAGCACAGTCAGATCAATTCAGCCGCGAGAAAACACTCCTTGACTACTATTATAATGCAGTCAAAGAAGCAGATCCTTTACGGTGGACGTACCTTAATGATCCCCTTCTCTCTGTTCGGACTGATCCTATATCTCTTGTGCCTGGGTGCTGGGACCGAGACGACATCTTCTCTCTACGTAACGCCTTGATAACAATCATAGCTCGCTGGAGTGACATTGGCCACACTGGAATACAATGTCCTGTTGATTTTACCGAGGACGAGCTGTTGCAGCATGAGAAGGAGATGGAGCTTATCGAGGGCATTTCAAAAATAATGCAACAGCTAGAAGATGAGGGGCTTATTCCGTTTGGTGGTATGGTTCGGCAGGAGTTCTTTGAACATGCCAAAGAACTGAACGACATCTTCAAACAAGAGTTCATGGACTTGGCGGAAAATGAGGCACAGAGAAAACTACACGAGAAAGCATGGCCCTATAGTTGAAATTGAAATGGCGGTCTGGTTATTTTAATGCCCTTTCTAATGTAAAACTCTACAAACTCTGAAGCGTCAAGTGTATTTTCAAACCGCTGTATGCTGCAATTTCGTCACCCAGGAATCTAGTCGGAGTTTCCGAAAGCCCCACTCATGTGATACCGGATATAAGTAGTTCCGAAGGAAAAGACAATCGGGCATCAAACCACCTATTTCCAGGCCGACTTTCTGACCCCTCATTCCCCCGCCTACCATACATTCCCTCAAAACACGGCCAAAACAACACCTTGTGCATAACTTTTCCAAATTCCACGACACTTTGTTTGGGAAGTTCATTTCGTCTATAAGCCAGATCGTACAGATATAACCTTTACCTTCGCAAGCGGCGCCTGTATCGTTGATAAACGCTATCTTATTGCTGATTTCGACGTTATGTCTGCGACTGCAGTCGACCCGAAGGCTGTTCAGCAAATAAGGGAACTTGCAGAATGGCTCTCCCACACTGCTCGCATGGAAGAAGCGCCAATGAATATGCTACAATGTGTAGATGAAAAACGCCATGAAAAGGTTCGCCCGTTGCTGGAGAGCTTAAGTGTTCACACTGTGAAGGTAGGAAAATTGTTCTATATTTCGCGAATGCTAGCTGAAAAACCTCAGGGTCATGGTTATATAATGTGGCGCATATCTGGGAAAACATCTATACGGAAAAGCCCAGGCTATGAATCTCGTTTCTTTCCGCTGTCGATTGGAGGCGAAGAGAGTGATATTGGGTCAGGAGAAATAAGGGTAGCAGGCGAGCTGCTTACGCCAGGAAACTATATCTGTATCAGAGATAAACTTGAGCTGGACGCACAGTTGGATTGTCTTATCGTTCTCCTACCAGAAAATGCACAATAAAGGGTTCGGCGGTTTGGATTTATCTGCGAGATATCTTCTAGTTATAAATAATCTGTATTTGTATTTGAAAACCTCAAAGCACAGCATCGAGTTGCGAGACCGAGGTTTTTATCTTGTCTAACATTGAAGATTACAATTGGTTTTGTAAATTCGACAGTTCCAACAGGTCAACGGCATGTGCTCGTTCGCGACATTCTGCTGTTGAATCGGGGAAGTCGAGGAAGCGCCCCGGGTCCAAAGTGCCCCATGGCCCGGATGCCATTGTTTGGTCAGGAAAATCCGCAAACGCTGCTGGATCTAAGGTGTAGGGCCGTAGTCCTGATTCTGCGGTCAGATCAGGGAAGTCTGCGAACGGTGCCGGTTCTACTGCGTGATATGACCCGGATGCCACTGCTTGGTGAGGAAAATCCGCAAACGCTGCTGGATCTAAGGTGTAGGGCCGTAGTCCTGATTCTGCGGTTAGATCAGGGAAGTCTGCGAACAGTGCCGGTTCTACTGCGTGATATGACCCGGATGCCATTGCTTGGTGAGGAAAATCCGCAAACGCTGCTGGATCTAAGGTGTAGGGCCGTAGTCCTGATTCTGCGGTCAGATCAG